CTATGCAGGCTATTGTTAATTCTAACATTTTTATTCATAAAGTAAGAATAAATGCTACTATCTGGTCTCGAAATTTTCAATTGTAAATCTCCTGAAACGAATGGTATTGTCGAAACTGCTTATTGAGGCTATCTTATCCTCAATGACGCCCCATGGCATAATTTACAATAGAGGCTCCACCTAACTATCGAATTCAACTTTATCAACACTTCATTTATCTAAGGTGTTAAACGTATGTGCATTCTATTGAGACGATCACCATTTAGTGTTTGTTGAAACTAAAATGGGCAGAACATAGAAGGGCAGGTCAAAGTTGTATCCACCAGAGAGATGGGTTCAGTTAGATTTCTCCCTTTAAATATATTGCAGGATACTACACTATTTGGCAAACGATCGGCTTGCAAAGTATTAACAACAGACTGATAAAGTATATCCGAAGCCTATTTTTCCTATTTACAGACTTAAATGCTACAGCGTAGGCCGTAATGTTTTGCATTCGAGTGCCTCCTATCTTTTTTGTACCATTCCTAAGTGAATCTCAGCATTTAGTATCTCCTAGTTACTATTATAAACCTCGTCATTTCTAGACAGAAGCATGAGGGAATCCAGTTTTGTGGTGGTCACATGGTAATAATAGTGTCTAATGTCATTGCTTTTTAACAACCCGAATAACACTGAAATCGAAGATTTTAATTAAGTTGGGGGGAATAAAATCGTTGCGAAGACTACGAATGGAGTTAGAACTCTCCTTAAAAAGACCTGGCTTACACATTAAATTAAGTCGATTGAATTCAGGTGGGGGGGGGGACATTTTCCTCAAGTTTTAATTGACTACTACAATTCAGAGGGGTGTGTTTCTGTGCTAAGAGCTTAGTGCATTTTGGATATTAACAAACTTAATGGTCAAATTCATTGGAGTCGTAAATTTTGCTTTATTCAAATACGTACTGTTAGTACCTGAAAGTCCTTCTAGAACTTAGTCAATGAAATTCAGTAATATTGCTGTGAGGACGTATTAAAACTATTCCTCGATTTCTTAAAACATCACATTTTTCTTCAGTCTTCGCTCCAAATGAAGCTGGGTTAAGACAAACAACGCCACCTACTTTGAACACCTGTGCCTTCTGAAAAGAATGTTTCCTTAATCCCTTTTGCACAAAGGATTAACCACTGATTTGACTCAGAGAAGAGACCCTGTTGTCCTCTACTGGTTTCGAGGTCAAAACAGGTATACCTTTGAGAAAAGTGCTTAAGCGCACGAAAGTTGAAAATGCTTTATTCGTTTGAATGAGTGATATTTGCACTAAATGACAGTCACTGAGTATGCGATCCTATCCATTCGCCAACTCCACATACTAGAAAGCCGGTTTTAAGTAAAAGCAATCGGTCACAGTGTCTTTATCGTGGTAAATTAATTTAAGTGTTGACCAGATTCCCGCCTATTGAATATAAACTGTAAATTGGGAGGGCAATCATTACACTTTCACTGATATACATTATTGCCTTAAATGGGGTCAGTAAATATCGATTCAGATAATGTAAATTAATCGGCAAGTGAGCCAGTAGAAAGGTCATATAAAAGTTACAAAAAAATCAATGAGCTATGATATTATATTTAAATGACTTTTGATGAATTCGCCACCATTCAACCAGCTCATGCGCCGTGGAGTGCACAGCGCTACCATGGGTGAATATGGAAAACTCATGCTCACTAAGAAATACCCCCAAAAAGCCGCAGCGCTAGCTGCCGCGTAGGGAGCAAGTGCGGTCGTACGCCCAGATATCTCTCAGCCAACCACCAATCAATTATGGCTATATTGTTTAACAAACCTGTAATAGTCTTTTAAGGACTACAGTGTATGTTGGACATAGCTTAAAAAACGCGGTCGATGCCTTACGTCTGTTTCCCCTATATTGCTGAGGCGGGGGGTGCGACAGACTTACCTCCACGTGGTGCACCCTGGACAACGTCTACGCATACGGCTAAAAAGGTCCTTTTATCGGAAGATGACCTCTTACTTCAAACTACCATCACCCCATTGTATACCACATTCGAATATTCCTTCAGTGCTCACCTCACCTTTTTTCCACCTTTGTGGCTGTCTCTTTTACATCTTTAAAACACTCTTCTGTTCCCCCCCCCCCCCTCTCGACTTTATTTCACTTTGATGTTCCTTCCCCTCTGTGAAGCCTGAAGTCAACTAAAGAGCCAATGATAACTATCAAAACGCCAGCCATTGGCTTGCATTAGCCACTCACATTAGAGGCCATGGGTTCAACTCTCATCTAGACGTATCCGGATATCGGATTGGCCACCGGGATAGTTGGGTCTTGGTTATACAGAGTGTGACAGTATTTGAGTCTCTTTCCAATCCAAGGTGAGCGTTAGAAAGCACTTTTCCAAGGACTCATGAATGATTATAATTAGGAGTAACATTTAATTCTTTGCATGCATCAGTGCGTGTATATGCTTGTCGATGAGCAAACGTCTGAACCACCTGTGGTAGGGTAGTCTTGAAAACGAAATATGGGCCCTGAACCCATGCCAGTAATTCACATTTTCTTCAGCACAATCAAAAGCAGAAATTATTTACTTAACACAGTAAAATCTAAGAAATGTAAATTTATGAATACAACGATGGTCCAGTTAAATCTTATCCGGATACAAAATTGTTCATTTGATCTTCATTTACCTTGGGTATAGCGAAAGACTTAAACAAAAGACAATAATGACTGTCAGACATAATGAGAGTAAAGGTATTTGATGTGAATTTTATAACTTTTCAGTGTGTTCAGAATGGTTTCAAAAAAAGAATATGATAGTTTGGCTTAGCCTACAGATGTTCATGCTTCGGAATGCGCTCCTAATTTAAAACTATTTAAAATGTAACGCGTAACTAAAATGTCTACCGTCATAAAAATTATCTTTCTCCTTTGCAGCTACTGCGCTTTCAAATGTATTAAGTAAAATTATGAGAGGGGGGGGGAGGAATGTGGGGGGTGGGGAGAGAAGGGACAAACTTTTAATTTTTCTCTCCTGACGTTTTTTTCTTTTGGAAAAAATCTGGATGAGAATTTATGAGGGGACCTCGAAGTAACGTAGAGTATTATTGAAGACAAGTGCAAGATTGTACTTCGCCAAAACCACGGTCAGTATGCAATGTTTCTATCCTCTAGGTTTAACTGACGCCCTAATTTAAATATTGATTTGGCCTAGTTTCAAACCCCTCCATTCGTTCTCCGAATTTTCAATGGTTCCACTTCCACCGCTCCTACCCCCCCCCCCAGAAAACTACCAATGAAAACATTCTAAATTGTACTCTGTTATGCTGACAGTTAATTGCCCATCGTTCAATTATCTTCCTCTAAAGTAAAGATAATCTAGAACCTTTTATTTCACATGTTTTTCTTGTGGAATTGAAATTCTTGCAGCTTGGAAGAGTAATTTGTTTGTCAAATTTCTCGACCCTTCATTGGTGTCCAAGCCAAAGTCATCTCTCCAAGCAAACTTCCGAAATTTCTATTTCATTTCCATCTTTTTTCATCGGTCGGTCTCCGTTTGCTATATCAATGGTAATTTCATCACAAACATGTACACTAATCTCTTAGGAAGTGCGCAATCAAATATGGAAGCCTCTCTTCGTTCGTTGCTTTCACCTGCTTATCTAGAAGATATGGTGGATTGCCTACACTTAGATTGATTTTATCTTCTTTCCCAAAATCTTATCTCTCAGTCGAGCATGCACTTTCCAGTTAATTGAAATTTGTTATTATTGTCTACAGGAAAGTTAACATATTGCAACTGTTTATAGAAGGAAAAAGTAAGAACGTGAAGACGCAGTGTAGTCCACCGGGAGGCAAATATGGGAGTTTGGACTTTTATGGAGACCTCCTATATACATACTTAAATCAATTTTCCAAGTGACAGAAACCATCACCCCTCGAGTAAGTTTCCCTGATCCGGACAAGACCAACCTCTAATCTCAGTCATTTGATTTGCCGTGTGTTGACCTGTGCGCGCAACTGGTATAGCAGATGCGCACTTCATTTGAGGTCATCTATCAGCTTGTTCTCACAAGTTCAGACACGCATCTTGGCCTTTCTCGATTACCACCGGTACTCGTTTCTACCCACGATTTCTCCCATGTTTGAGGACTCCGGTAGGGGTTTACGCACCGACTTATTTATTCCCTGGGTCATTACTGCTAGATTTTGTCCAGTGTGGTTTTATAGCTACAGGGTTTCTAAAACAATTTATTTATTTATATCAAATGGCTGGCGTCTTGATGGTTATCATTAGCATTTTAGTTGACTTCAGGCTTCACTGAGTGGAAGGAACATCAAATTGAATAAAGTTGAGAGGGAGGAACAGAAGAGTGTTTCAAAGATGTAAGAGACAAACACAAAGGTAGAAAAAAGGTGAGGTGAATACTGTGGAAATAGTCGAATATGGCAGAGTGAGGTGATGGTAGTTTGAAGTCCGAAATCAACTGCCAGTTAATAGACTTTTTTGCCGTATGAATATACGTTGCCCAGGGTGCACCACGTGGAGGTAAGTCTACCGCACACCACGGTTTCTAAAACAATGACTTCTTGGACTCCTATCACACTATGACCCCTTTATTCGTTCTTTCCCAGCTTTCCAATTAAATATGAGACAAACTACCCGCCAAGTCGTCTTCAAAGACTTTTTTAAGTTAAAGATGATACTAACAAATTCACTATGTTCATATTGTTTCCCCTCCTAGTGTAAGAGAAATGAAATTCATTATTAAGAAAATGCAAAGAGAACAAAAAAGTAATTTATTTACAACATAAATCTGTACAATCTGCTTATCTGTATGGGAGAATAGATTTGGGTGGAAGAGATTTGAGGGAGAAAGTCAATTTAGAAAAAATAAGCAAGTGATTGAACGATCAAGCATACGAACAAATTCAAGCAGACTGGATGGTAGACGGTAGGAAAGGAAATATGGAATGAACTCCAATGCCGCTTCTCATCAATCATGTGAACTGGCACAGTTGCGCAGAACTGGGGAGTTTGAAATGGTATGTCTTAGGGCCTCTGTTGCAGCTACAACATCTTGAACAGCACCAACTAATCGTTCCATCTCTGGTCCAAGTATTACAACTGGTTTTGAGGCAACATTCATTGCCGTGGTGGGTAAACTCATGTTTGGTGAGGATAAACATCCAGCCACATCCTTTGTTTGTGCAATTAGGCCCTTCAGAGATTCGCAAACAGCGTTTCCATGCGTTTCTAAGTCACTTCTTAATCGTTCTACCTCCTCAGCAGAATTAGAGGTTTCTGAGGGTGATAAATGCTGAAGAGCTGAAGAAAGATTTGCTGCCAAACTGACCAACTGACTGGAGCAGCGGAGTAGAAATTTTGCATTTGCTATTAAAACTCCTGCCGCGGGTAGATGATAGCCCCTAATATTTCGTGATTTATCCACCTTGGTATCTAAACCCCTAAAGAATTCTTCTGCTGTTCCACGAACTAGGAGGCAGTGCGAATGAAATTGAGCAGCATAGACATGGAGAAGTCCCGCAAGATCTGTTGGATCGTTTGAATCAAGGCTATTTGTTATGCTATCTTCTCGATCACTTATTGATAAAGATCCAAAACAGTCGTCCAAGTTAGATCCTTTTTTAGATTGTTCGCTATCTGTGGAGTCGAACCAATTTAATTGAACAGTATCAGTAATAGCTTGAGTAGAGGTTGAAATCTTTTCCAAAGAAGTGGTCAATTGCTGAAATCCCTTTTCAGGATTCGGCTCTCTTAGGCGTTGAAGTGCATTCATAAGTGGACCATCTCGTTCCTTATTGATTTTTCCACGTTCTTGCTGGACAAAATTACTAATACTTGAATCACCACTGCTAAAAGCATCGCACAGCCGATCTAAATGCGATAATTCTGCTGAAAGACCCTGTTCAAAATTTCGCATCTTTTGGTGTAACGCTTGAGTGGAACCACCTTTTTCAAAGCGCTCCATTGAAGCTAACGCTTCCGTAATCAGGAGCTCAATTCGTGATTGAGTCTGCTGCCAGCTAGAAAATGATGTGGCTGGACGGATTTGTCGTAGATTAAAAGGTGTTGAGGTTGATCGAGTTAATCGAAGTGGAAAATGGGTAGTTAGGAAACTTGGCTCAGGACCATTGTCTAAATTTACAGGTGATTCGAGAGGGCTCTTAGGTCCTGTAGTGTGATGTTGGTCCGTCTGATTACCAGACAACGAGCGCGTTTGGGGCAGGGAATCTTGAAGGGTACTTTCATTGACTCCCTGAACTGGATTTGATTTCGATGTGGAGGGAAAATCTCGCAATTGAGTGCTCTCTGCGGTCTCCATTGGCATTGGATCCACAAAGCGAACTGAGGGTTTACTAGGCTGAGCTGATGAGCTCAAATCAGTTCGTTTTACTGTTAGTCGTGGAATGGTGTCAGTGAGTGAGTGATCCTAGATGCAAAATAAGTGACAATATAATTCCGTCAACTGGTTGATTATATTCAACAGAAAAAGGAAAGGTATTATAATGAAATTGCAGAAAACGAATCTGACGTACAACTACCAAAAATGCTAAATTACATTTTCGTGTCCCTCGCTGAATAACCACTATTGTGACAATGAAATATGCACTAGTTTTCTTGTAAAACTGTCTTAATTTTTATTTAATAAAATTTCCTGCTCTAAGTTAAATTTTTTTCGCGCAGACAACAGAGGAAAGACAATCGGTTGCAAGGGAACGAGGAAGTCACTCTTATTAGAATAATGCTCTTGGAGGGGGTGGGGTTGGGTGGGGGGGTAATTAAAAATACTGCACCTGAATGCGCAAGAGTGGGCGTAAATACAATATAATTCCCTATAGAATTCAGGAATGTTTCACATAAATGCCACTTACTATTTTTAAGAACCCGAATTAGGTAAAAAAAGCAACCTTCCTGCAAGGAAAATCGAAGTATATGAAGAGCGCGAGCTCGTTGAAGAATCTCATTTGAAGCTCCTTAACAATGCCTATTCACTTTTGTAGGGATTATAAATCTTTTGTTTGAGGGGACTAAAAGATTACGTAAAATTGGCGTTGTGTTCAGTCAGAGAGAGAGAGAAATTACCACCTGATTTATTCTGATTGTCAAAATTGTGTTCTAGTACCCACGTCTGTGGATCGAAGACTCCCGATGGGTGACTTTTCCCTCTCAAACTAGAATTTGGAAAATTATACCACCTTTAAGGCAAAAATGTTGCAGTTGAGATTAAGATTAGATTACCCTATGGTAATCGAATAAAAGTTCGATTTAATTGGTCAAACATTTAGCAAGGCAAGTCAGTGTTTTTCTACATTGTTTCAATTTTTAACTAAAACGTGGTATGAAATACTCAGAGGTAATTCTAAAATTTCCACTTGTTTCAATCATGCCGAAGTTTTGAGTGAATATATTATGCAAAGTATAATTTCACTGTAAATTGATAAGATTTTTAATTATAAATCACTTGAAAAGTGCTCTAAAGAGTAGACTCTAAATGGCTGAATAGAAATGCAATGCGAATTTTACGAGTAAATTCTTCTTGGTCAGAAGCGGTTGTATATGGACACTCCGAAACTTTTGATCTCTGACTTAGTGGACGTTACTCACCGTGACACTCAAACACATCAAGGTCTTAAGAATATTTTACTCTTAATATTTCCCCAATCCATAAGGCTTAGCCAAATTTAATCAGGTGCATTGATTTCGCTTAGCTAAAGCCATTTAGATGACGCCTTACAAATCATTCAATACTCTATTCAACCCCCAATCCCCCCCCCCCACATCACCCGGAAAAAATTATTGAAACTAATTGTGTCTGCTACTTGAAATACTGCGAGAAAAAACACCTTATTTTTTTGTCAGTATGAACCAATCCCAAAATGGGCTGATGTTTAAAACATCAAATCTGGACCCCCAGCACTGAAAAACTCGTAAATATAAATATCCAAATCCCGCACACATGTACGCTCATAGTATGTAATTACCGAAAAATGGCCTTGCCACAACCAATCAGAATGCGGAAACAGAAAAAGTAACCATTGCACACTTAGGAGGAAAATTCTAATAAAACATCCTGAATGTGCTTAACATGCTTGTTCACAGTCTCGAAGTTATAAACAATCGTTCTAACAAAGCCTAAATAATTGACAGACAGTTTTTAAGTATACTTAATTATCAGAAGCATGAAACAATTGATTTAGATCAGAATGTTTCCATGCATTGGAGCAGTAGGTATAAGCATTTTTGGAGTAAAAATACACGCTCAAAATCTAACTTCCTCACTTTCAACGTGTTTTATTTGCAATTTCTAAAAAGTAATTGATGCCAACATACTTTCTTCACTTCATTTGATCCCTCTCAAATTGGAAAAAATAACTCAAGATGCGTTTTCTTTCCAATACTAGAATCCATTGTGCACATACAAGAAAGACGGTCCTATATTTGTATTGTAACTTTAAATTTTATACCACAAAATCTCTAATTTACAAGTTCTAACCCGCAAATTATATTTATTAAAATTGGGTTGGAAAGATTTGTTTACAAATTTATCTCCCCTTACCACCTTTGGAATTTTTACAGGCTAAGTTGTCCTTAATCTAGTTGTGGATTTTAGAGGGGATCTAAGAATGAATTCACCTTTTAGCCAATTAGGAATTGACTTATCCTTGAAAGTTATTCATTTTTTCTTCTATTTTCCTCATGTACACATATTTATCATCTTTGCTGTAGAAACTCCACATATTTCCATTGTTCAACTTATACAAGACGAATAAATTTGCAGTATATGGAATCCACGCAGAACCTTAGGTAGCCAGAGGGTAGGTGATGTGCTAATTGCTAACAGTTTCATTTGCCAACAAAGATATCTCTTTGTTTAGAGTGTAGCCTTCACATATCCTCAGTAATCTCTAAGACAGAATATCCTGGTATAGTTAGGCTCCCGAAATGGGTTTAGCTTAGGGAAAAGTAGATGTAGAGCAAGTATAGTGTTTATTGAATTTATGCTTACATCAAGCACGATTCGTATTTTAATGCATTTTATCATAACTTGAATGAAAATTAATAGTTGACTGGCTGAGAAGTCCTCAGCACACACGACCGCACTCCCCAGAACAATCGAGTGCTCATAGTTTAATTGTGTTAGGATTGCGTACTCCAAAAGATAGTGATTTACAACATTTCTGGGTGGTTTTAACACTCCAATGTATTACTATATCACAAAAAGTTATTTTGTGCGCATAGCTCGTAAAATAGTTTGCGAAGCATTGATTAATAGGGGTTAATTTCATTTTCTTACAATTATTTCATAATCATATTATTTACTTTTAATATCAGTTATGGCACAAAGGATTTGTTAGTTCCACTTACATAATAGGTATTCGTATATTTAATGTGATAAACTCGTAATGTTGAATTTTAATAATAAAATTACTTTAAGTTGCGTTTGCATCAATTCTTCATTTACTTGTTCCTATTTTGGTCTCAGATGGAAGAAGAGCTTTCTAAACAGCACATAGAGTCTTGCATGGCACCGTTAATCATCAAGGTATCGATTAACTTTGAGTGTACTCGGTATTCAAAATTACATTTATATTAAAAATAAGTTAAAGTAAAATTTGTGCATATTATTCCAAAAACCAATTTCTACCCATTTATTTATTACAATTTATCACAAGTAACTGGCATAATGTACTTATTCATCAGACTCCATTTGAAGGAATTTCACCGACAACATGTTCAAATGGAGTGAGAAGATGACCTTGGAAATTGGTCGGACTCAAATGCAAATATTCCCTCTGCGATCACGGACTTAATGAGTGTGACAATGCTCCATTCTTCCATATGTGCATATACTATCTGTGCGAAACAGTAATTGTTGCGATGTCTTTTTTTTCAAATGACTTGGAGCAAGTTCAATTAAACAACGATTATGGCAGATTAAGATTATAAAAACTTTTCCAATTTTAGTGTTGCCAAGTCCTAGCTATATATAAATACAAATATTGGCAGCACCAAATAAATTCTATATATTTCTTGTTATAGTTAAATAGTTTCTAATTATGAGCTCATTTAAATTCATATCATTAGTAGCTCATAAATCACATATGATTCGTATTTGCGAATTATTATTATTAAAGTAAGCATGAATTCAATATTTAATTTTACTGTCACAAAATGCATCATTTTAATTCATGATGTTTAAAAGCTGAAATTAAATTTTGCTATATTTCAAGTTATAGTGAGAGGTAAGAGAAAATAAAATTTTGCCGGCAAAAGGATGATAATATAATCACAGGCTGGGAAAGATGAGGAGAGAGGTGCGTTCATTTTACTTTGGGCAAATTTTGGATGTTAGGGAATTGGGAAGCAGAATTTTGCATAGCAGGGCGAGTGTGTGTGTGTGTGTGTGTGTGAATGTGTGTGTGTGTGCGTGTGTGAGTGTATGTTGAGACAGGTTGAAGGAGACATGATCGCACAGTGAGTAAGATTTGCTACTGGGTCTTGTTTGAGGCAGCTTTTCATGCCAGAGTGCAATCAGTGAATTCTGCAGTTTGTCTGAAAATGGAGTCATTTGGGGTTTGGAAAAGACGATAAGAAGTAAGTTATTTTTATTTATTTCAAAGGTTTAAATTGTGTTAGTTACAAGTTATTAAATTTCCAATACTCGCTTCTACTTTCTATGATTATGTGAGGATAAATTGAATTTCTACCTTAAATTGAATTGAAATAACATATATTTCCATGGTAATAGTCTTTAACACGGCTGTGTAAAATTCATTGCTTCTTTCACAGTTTTAATAGCTCGATTTGTATCTCTTATACACATTTTTTTAAAAAAATGCACTAACTTTATGAAATTTTAATCCCAACACATTGGGGGAAAGGCAAACTGAATTCCACATATTTTTAGCCATCAAAAGTAATCAAACTAGGCTTTAATTATGGTCATTAACCTAAGAATGACCTTTTATATGCCTTGACCTTGTTGTTTATTTTCTGTATTAGAAAGCTAATGCAGTATAAGCGAGATACCAATGATCTGATGGCAATAACTTCTTAAAGTCACCCCCTCCCACCTCCTTAATGTTAACAGATATTGGAAAGGTATAGATGATCAAACTTTGGAGGAAATATTGGGTCGATAGAAAAAGTATGAAAAAATCAATGAAAAATTTACTAAATAATTCGATCAAGATGTTGGTAAAAATGGGACCCCACATGAGTCTCTCCACTGAGTGACACACAAACACGCTCTCTGGTCATTAAAAATTTCTGACAAACTTGCGTTCTTATTAAATTGCTCAATTATCGCTATGACCTCTTATTCAATTTGCGTGGAACGAACCGTTTGACTAAACTGTTCTGTAAGTATTTTATTTTGATTGACAACAGAGGAAGTCATGCTTCTTGCCCCATATTTAATTTAAAGTATCAAAGTGCAATTAATTAAAACAAATAGAGAGTAGAAAATGGTTAAATCGGCATAATCAATCATTTATCTTCCAATCAGCACTTGGCGAACAAGTAGCTAGTGAAAATAGAAAGAAGGATTTGATGGCTCAAGTGTCTATCCACACGAACTCTCAAGTTAAAGTTTTGCCAAATGGGCAATAGATCTTAAAGCGCTTGAAATTATTACCAAAAAATATTCACCTGATTGTTTTTGTTATTTAAATCCGGAGAAGTTTGTCTAGCTGTCAAGGTAGGGTTTGCATTCATCGAGGTGGATTTGAGAAGGGAGACTGTCTTTCCTGGAATTTCTTCCATTTTAGGCGAAGTGGGTCGAGGGGAGGTGGAAGGCTGTCGGGAGAGAGGAGACCCATTTCGACCCTCGGATGCACCTCCGGTTGGATAATTCTCGTAGAAATTTGCATATAAGGACTGGTCCATTTTGTTTGGATGCGGTGGTATAACAGGGGGCAATTCAATAACAGTTGGAAGCTCATCATAGGGATCGGTTTCCAGGGGATTTACTACTACTTTCACTGTTTTCGTCGGTGCGTTTGCAGAAATTGTAGACCTACTTGTTGAAGGCTTGATTTTCGGCTAAAGTGGAATAGGAAGGCTCTAAATAATATTGAGCTTTAACCTGCTTAGGAAAATCATGAAAATGTCTCAATTTAATACCTTGATTAATTTTTCCTTAATTCTTTCGTCCATTTGGCCTATGCCTCATCTATAACCTTTCAGTTAACCACTTATAAGGTTTATTTCCATCCTAATTTGATGAGATCAAATGAAAAGACTTCTCCTCCTAAATATTCTCATACAAAATTGATTACAAATACTGAAAATCATATCCTCATGAAGGTGTGTGCGATCGACTTGCCTCCACATGGAGCACCCTTGGCAGCAGGCGACGTAGGACTTCAAACTACCATGACCCGACTCTATGCCATATTCGACCTCTTCCACAGAACTCGCCTTACTTTACCTTTTTTCTCTACCTTTGTGTCTGTCTCTCCCTCTTTTCTGTTCCCCTCTTGACTTTCGTAACTTTGATGTGCCCCCCCTTTGTGAATCCCAAAGTTAATTAAAGGCCAAATGATAACTCTCCTGAAGCTTGTCATTTGATATAACTAACTATTCTCATGAATGCATCCCACTGCTCATATAAATGCCTCATTTCTCCATATCCGATATGCAAAAAATAGAACTACATGCGCCACAATTTCTTATTCAATAAGTTACTTCATTTGATCAATTAATGCCCCGTAAACGACATATTACGCCTTTAGTATATCGTTTAGGGCAGATATGGTCAAGTAATTGAATAACATTTTATTTATTTCCTTTCTAATTCTCATCTGCATTACTTTAGAAGAAATGGGGTGTGCGATAGATTTACCTCCACGTGGTGCACCCAGGACAACGTATACTCATACGGCAAAAAAGTCTATTAACCGGCATTTGACTTCTGACTTCATAATACCATGGCCCAACTGCTTGTCATATTCGATCGCTTCCACAGTACTCATCCTGCCTTTTTCCCTACCTTTATGTCTGTCTACCTCTTTTACATCTGTGAATCGCTCTTCTCTTCCCCGCCCCTCGACTTTCTGCTACTTTGATGAACCTTCCCTCTGTGAAGCCCGAAGTCAGCTAAATGGCTAATGATAGCTATCAAAACGCCTGCCATTTGAAATAAATACTTTAGAAGAAATCAATAAATGCGTGATGGCGAAATGGGTATTGCCAATTTTAATTGTTGGAAACGTGGAGCAAATCTCAATTTGGAGAAATTGCATAAATAAAAAGCTCCCATTTTGTTTTCTATTGAATTTTGAGTTGGTGAAATGGTCTCCTACTGATCCAGAAAATCTGCCTTTGAGATAGTCTAGCGGTAATATCAAAACCGAAAATTTTATTTAATCAGCCGTGTTTTTTGACGCTCTCACCCCCTCACTCACTGGAAGGTGATGCAAGCACCATGTTCAATAGCAAAAAAATGGA